AATTGTTGCGCGTTTCCTCTACGAAACTGTAAAGTCCAACAGCAAGCAATATCTAATGCTGACAAAGATTTTTCGACTGGTTATTCACCGATACCGTAGAAACTGTACGTGCTTAAAAATCGGCCCATCTGGATATCAGCGAATAAACCAACCGATTGAACTCTATGTTCATCTGGCACATACTAGATACGAAGTTATTGTACCATGAGTTCAGCAAGTAGAAGGAAGGCACGCCTGTTCGGATGCACGTGTATTCAGTAGCAACGTATGACAAGCGCGAGTACAGGCAAGCAAGTGAAAATGCAAACACGTATGCAAATACAGGGGTCGATGACGTATCTTATTGAAAGGGTATGATAACTGTACAATCGGATTCAGCTGCGCAAGGTCGTACCACAGGTGGTACAGTCTGATTGGTCAGTGCTTTCCGGGAGGAAGCACGACAATGTCAACTGCGTATGTGTATATGCGACTGCTGGCGTGTGCCCATGATTGCACGGGGTTCAGATTAATATGAAAGCAGCGGGAGTATTTTTCACAAGCTCATACACAGAAACCGATTCGCAGAGACCTTATGACTAACAAGACATGCCAAACATTAGAGGCGCAGTAGACATATAACGGTAATTTAGTACTTTGTGTGAAATTCTCACGCAGTTTCTCTTTCTCACTCGCGTGACTGTAATTATCTCGTTACCAGGCCCTTCCCAACTTATTCAACCAACATGTCTTCCCTTATTTTCGCATGTTGAACCCGGTTAGCTTGCCTCCGTTCTTTATCAGCTTTCCCACCCACACCGCACGAGCGACCCTTGAACTTTCCTTCCAGGATGGAGATCACGCCACGCCTGCGTGAGGGTCTAGGTCAAGTGTGCGTGCGATTCTCTTGGTCCTTGTCTGATAGGATTTCATGGTCATATCTGTCCCTCCGTTTCACGTGCGCTTACCATCTTTCCCTGACTGGTCAATTGTTCTTCCTATAAAAGATGGATTTCACCCTATTCCAAAGACTCGGTCCCGTATTGCTCGGCATAAGTTCCTCGACAGACCCTTCTGACAATTTGAAGTGTATTCCAGGACCTTTGTGACTGGATTGCGCCACAAATTGAGATATGTTGCTTGTAATTGCAATGACTGCTCTCCGGAGTACACGCAGTTCACCCACTCGCCGAATTCGATTTAGGTTTCGGGTTCGTGTTCTACGAGTCACCAATTCACTGAACAGTGGTTCAGTTACAGTGTGTATTTACGACTGCAGGCGTGTGCCCATGATTGCACGGGATTCAGATTAATATGAAAGCAACGGAAGTATTTTTCGCAAGCTCATACACAGAAACCGGTTCGCCAAAACCTTATGACTAACAAGTCATGCCAAAAATTAGCGGCGCGAATAGATATGAACGAATATCATCGCCATTTGATTCTATAAAGCGTTGACTAAACACATCCGGTTTTTGTGAAGTCAAGCATTAGTTTGCGCAACAGGCCAGAACACACGATCATGACCGTTTAGACAAATTGCTTGTCAGCAAGGGACAATGCTCCTGTTCAATAAAAATAAAATTCGCAGAAGTTTAAAAATGCCATCATCATCCATTATCATCAGCGAAGATGCAACACCGGTTTTACATTCTTGATGAGGTTGTTAATGTAGATTATCAGAGCAAGTTTTCTGATACTTATCCCTGTTCTTCCGCACTAACTTTTACAACCTTGATACTTATCAGTCAACTTTGATAATTAAGGCACAGTTTGCAAGAAAGTGGGCTATCTATTGTCTTGCTGTCCTGACTATTCCAAGCGTCTTCAACTTATAACAAAACAAGCAATGGCCTACGGATTCAAAAGCTTTACTGAAATCCAAATAGCACACCTCTACTGCACTAACCTCATCCAAGCATTGTGTAGTCCCATTAAAGAACAGCAGTAGGCTTCACAAATGCAAAGTTTTTACCGAACATATATTATTCATAAGTCAGTAGTCAGTTGTTGATCAGGTGCAAGCGAATTTGCATCATGGTCAGGCATTCCAAACATTTACGAAACAATGACGTTAGACTGACAGGACTGTAGTTCCCCAACTTCTGCTTGGGTACTGCCTTGTGCATTGGCAAAACAGTAGCCTTTCACTAGTCTTCCGACATTACATCCTCTTTTGGGGATTAACGATACAAATAAGTGGTCGGGCCCATCAATATCTCCGCTAGTAGCTGAACAACAGTTGAACTGTCTGCATCCGTTCCTACGGCCCTAGGCCTGCATAGCGATCCGAGATCCTGGGGTGTCTCAATCTCCCTTGGAACGGGTTCCTGAAGCTGTGGCGTATTCTCAACATCTGAGCAAGTTCCAGCACTCAAGTTGTCTTGTGCATGGAGGTGCACGATCCTAAAGAACGCAAGTAAGGTTTCGACCCCATCTGCATTGTTCAGGGCTACGGTTCCGTCTGTTGTTGCCGAGGTACCTACACTTATATATGAGGTCTTCTTGGATTGTAAATACTCTTGGGGTCAATCACTGTTTTAGCCTCATGTGGAATGGCTTAGCTCTTGCTTCGGGCAAACCGTACATTAGAGCACAGTCCAATGCGTTTTCTAAAGCCTTCAATGGTCTGATCATCTTCGGTATACACTGAACACTGCCTCTCACCTTGGCTTCCCACAAAGTGATCAGTGTTTATTTCTTTGTGGCTTCAACGGAGCAAATTCTTCGACGATCATCAACAATTCAACCCATATTGCGTCCCACTTTTCCTGAACCGAGGGCTCTTTAGTATCTGGAAAACAACATATGCTTTGAGTAGCCCCTCGTAGTTGATCCTCTCTAATAGGGCCTTGGTCAAACGGTCATCGTGGGGAATTTAACCACGGACATTCTGAATTTGAATCGTGCCACTTCCCGTCTCCTCCCAAATACGAAATCTTGACTTGGCCAGGGACTACTTCCAGATGGGCAGTTATTTGGTTCACAGCAAACAGAAGTGGAAGGTTACTAATATTATTACTAGTATTATTATTAGTAGTATTTTTATTATTATAGTCGGGGCAAAGTTTCTATCCAGTCTAGTCCTCTTGAGGTAATTATCAAAGACAATGGTGTCTGCAAATTATAGCTCCCAATATGCAGTTTATAACCCAAACATCGTTACCGAAAGTTACTGAGTTATTCCGACAACCGTGTTAGTGATCCGTTTCTGAATATGATATCGCTTATCGTGAAAAACTGATCATGTTGATCAAGGTGATAATCACGAACGTGAAGCATCCGAGTCAGAGCGTAATTCATAGCGCACCTGCAGTGAAGCCGAAAAACGGCATTCGCAGAAAGTAGATTTTCCGATAAATTCTTTGTTTCTCAATTAGAACCCTACGACGACCTTGAGTGGGAAGTGGGGAAACATGGGACTGATACTCCCAAGATCTACCATCAGTTTAGTCTCCATCAACCATCTTTTTGGTGCTTACGGTCACACCGCGATTTCACCTCGATTGGTGATGAAACTTTTGCCACCAGAATGCCGAACTCAACGATCAGGTGTTGAAAACCACCAACCTGAGATGTGATCAACTATTTTCACAAACATTCAGATTGTATGTTGTTCATCTTATGGACAAGGAATACATTTATGGAGTTCAGTCACATGGATATAAATCTATGGAGCATAGACTCTCACCTCCTACGTTCACAGTTGGTCCATGGGATGAAAGTGAACGGACTGTGAATTGCCAACTGCGTGTATGTCGTTAGGGTGAGGATACAGAAACCGCACGATGGATTGTGGCGAGGAAGTGTGTAGGATCTAGCGCCTAAGGTTGTCACGTGCCCGAAATGTACAGTGAAGCAAGTGACAGACCCTTCTTGTTCGGTTGCTCACTACACGAGGGAGTCAGTTAATGACATGGAAAATATATATATAAAACCCTAGTTAGTTGGGTTCGCGATGTTTCATGTTTTAGAGTTCTCACGCTTGCATAGGAGAATTGGGCTATATAATTTCTTTATCTAATTCATACTTTGAACTGTAATGGTCGTCGTACCATTCAGATTTCTGTTACTATTTATTTTTTCTCATAAACACCTCCGGAAACCGCGTCATTCAAAACATACTCATCGGTTTTCAGAATAAATTTTGTGCCTAAAAATAAAAATAAAACCATTATCACTAACTGGTTAGCTACCAACAAAAATCAATCTCGTGTGTCAGAATCAACGATCACTACCATGAGGTCTATGAACCAACGTGGTCGGAAGCTGGCCTCCGTCAAATGTGTAACTGGCCCTCCACCCAGCTTGACACACCATTTTACTGGTCTCGTAGAGCAGTCAGACTCTCATGTTGTTGGCATTTCAACAGTTGATTATCATCCTCACATCCATCATTCCATTCAACATGGTACTATCGGTGTCGTTTTTATAAGATATCATCACAAAGACTTGTGTGATCACGGTGGACTTCAAGTAACTAAGAGGCTGTCTCTCGATGTTCACGAGAAATAAACAAGAAACCCTTGATGGGAATTCATATAGCAGTGCATGTGTAATTCAGTTCCCTGTCAACGAGGTTTTCAATGATAAAATGGTTCGGGTCTTCAATTTATTGCGATCATGTGCCACCTTCGTAGTTCATTTTAATAAACTGTTTTCATATGCATGTAAACACACGCTCGTTTCATTTGCACTCGATTTCATCAAATTCACTACCGCACTACCTATGCAAGCCGAATTCGGACACTGGCAATGGGAGTAGATATCAAAGCACTTGCTGAACATCCCGTTGTGGATGACCAGAGGTATCACTGATCAACAATGTCAAAATGAAGACTGTATTGCAATCTCGCAAACAGAACAAATAACTTAGCTGTCCCAGCAGTGGAAAGTGTAAAATTCAGAGACAATCATTTTATTTTATCTATGAAAAGTACAAAATTTAGTGTCAAACAACAAGAGCATTTTCAAGATTGACGAGAATCCTCATCAGGGATTGACGCGGACAATGTCGTCACTCAAGCCGGTGCAGCGTCTCCACCACCGAAAAAAGTAATCCACGAGTTCAAAGGCCACTTGATGAACTTCTCTGATTCCATGTATGCCTTGATTTTTGGAAGATCCTGGAAGATAAAATCAACAGTATTGATAACCGTTAATTGGTCCTTACCTCTACAACCCGTGGAATATTGAAACGGGATTCTGGTGCCACGTGAGCTCAGTGGTGTTGAAGATTGTGCAGATATTACTTCCAAAAACACAGTCGAAAGTATAGTGTTTGACGTGAAATATATGACAACCCATGTACTTTGGTTGTAAACTACTCCAGAATGTCTCGGTAACAGAAGAATAATGTTTGAGTGTGTTTGACATTCGTGGGCAAACTCACTCACTCATCAAGCGAGCGAACTCATTTGCTCGTGTGGCTGAATAACCTACATACAATGGTCAAATCAAGTCAAAACGTCGTTTTTATAGTCCGTGGGGAAGATTTTCAGACCCGTGCTTATCGATAAATTATGGGTTGGACAGACCTGCTTTTCATTCGATTAAATTAAAAGGATAAAATATATACAAGGTTTAAACAGCGGTAACAAACAATGATAGCTAGATGAATTAGGACAGAGCTTTTTGGGGTTACTGGACACTGGTGATCGATTGTTCAGGTACCTCACAAGATATGACAAGACAGATAAACCGTGGGAGATTATCCAACGGGGTAAAACAAATTGTATTTACATCTAGTGGATGAGGAAGATTCACACCCCAGTTGAATGCATGTGCCATGGATGAGTCAGGTCCGATAGGATATTGATGGAATGATTTCCGCAGAAAGAAAAGTCCTCTTCTCAGAGAAAATCGGTTTCATCAAGATAGAAGATAACACTGAATCATGGCTTAACTGTGATAGGCCTGCGCACAATGACAAAGTCTTTCTTCCGAAGATAGGCAAAGACGTCAGTGAGGAGTCAAAACTAAAGTATGGCATTAAGAAGCAGTGTACAAGACGTTTATTAAGATTCTGTGCAACGTGTGAGTATCATAGACGTAGAATAAAAAGGCAATGGTCGAATTGTTGTCAACGCATCGGTTACGTGCCGAGAACATGTGACATCTTGAGAAATGATCACGCCAAGATAATAGACGGATCGAACTTTGAGTATTTCCACTTGTTTTTCGTATACAAAGAAGAATAACTACTTTCTATTGAAGATAGACATCCTCCTTTGGAAAGTGGAAATGAAATATTACTACACATGGATATATGAAGAGATAAATGCGATGACGTGGACCACTGAATAAAAGAAGCTGAGGAATTGCGAAGTTCAGGAAATTTAAATTTATCGTCAAATTTGGTCCCAGAGACGACATGATCAGCGCACCTAATCAGGATAACGTCAGAAGATTTGGGTAAGTTACGAATATAAAATTAAAAATGTGAAGAAAGAAAGAAAAGCACCCTGAAGTACTCTTGTATTGAAGCGGAGATGTGAAGGTATCAGCGAATACGGAAATGTCATCTGATTAGAAAGATGTTGAAATATAGACATTCGTAGTAAGGATCGATCAATACGTGCTGAGGGATCGTGGTTTGAATTTCACCAACAAGCAAGCAATCTGTTTCCCATTAAACACAAATCACGTTTTTGGTGATCTGAACCAGGAACTTTTGATATACGCGAATAGGTCGCTTCACCAATCAAGATACCGACAGATACGGCCATTCTGGTGAACAATGTATATTTCGAGTTCTAGCAGCAAGTCGTCGGCATCAGAATTCAGCCACGTGTCTCACAGCAATATGATTACCAATGCAGAAAATTCGAACCTCTTTAGGAACTTTGCTGAGTCGCTAACTTTTCCCAACCACGAACGCATCTTGGTTGAGGGAATGATAGGAATCGATAGGTTTTTATAGTCTCAATGGCGTAAAGCTACATGGCAATTAGCGTATTGCTTTTTACTAAAGCTATATTGTTTCCGCTTTGGTCCTCTATATCTGTTAGACATTTGAATAGTCTGAATAGTCCCACAGTCATGGTCACATTAAGAACAAGTTGCAGAGCGAACAATTGTTTTCAATGAATCCTATACGTGCTCTTACAATTCATATGGGTGAGGTAGCATTGGAATGCGTTAGCCATTTGCCGGAGTAAAGGTCATTGTCGTGGCGTTAGGAAAAACGGGGTTGGTGGGGAGGGGTGTCTCTATCGTGTGCGTGTTGTGGTGAGAGTTTCACTCCCACCGTCACGAGTGGTAATCGATAGTGGACTTTTGGGGTTCGGTCGGCGATCCGTGGTTTCCGACAATGACCTTTACTCCGGCCAATGGCTAACGCATTCCAATGTTACTTCACCCATATGAATTGTAAGAGCACGTATAGGATTCATTGAAAACAATTGTTCGCTCGCCAGTGTCTTGTTCTTAATGTTAGACATTTATCAGGAGAATTTTTCGGGAATTCCACAATCTCTCAATAACATTTATTGCCTGTGGTGTTTTGAAAACTCCTGGTGTGAAGAAACATAACTTAGGAATTAGACAGATATAAACGATTGTTCCAACGGGACAAGTGTATACCATGATAAAATCATGATTAGCACGGACTGCATAGCCAAACCCGGAGGCCAGCAATGTTTGCCCAGCCACCGAACTTCGGCAATCTCATACGGCTTTCTGCCAAGAATCCAACACTGGGAACGGAGGTCAATTGTGATGTCATCATTCCTTCAAAATCATTTATTCGTACAAAACTGTATTACTGAGTGAAAATGAAGGTAGGTTGTATGCTGACTCAGACGATCGGGATGATACATGTTTTACGGCTTGCATTTGGAATTTGAGAACTGAAGGATTTTGCTCCAAATGTAACTATCTCACGCAGACTCAGGCATATTATGACGCCGTAACCTAGTCTTTTGAAATCGATAACTGTGAGGTTAACTGAGAATCAGAAACCCTTTCACTTTCATTGAGGAACTTAGGTGACGTCTAGTGTTGTTACCTATTGCTATTTGGACTTAGTTAAAATTTGACTGTATTCCTCTATTGGTGGGGCGGCAAAATGTGAGCTGATAAATAACGATAAACTATGTTTACAATCCGTTCAAAAAAACTAGTTTGTCTTTGATAGAATACACCGAGGACATTCAGTGGTTAGTCACCGATAACATGAGCGTAAAATTTCCCATGGCACTTCGTTAATACTTCTATTCTGAAGGTGGATCTTTTTGAATTTCGTTCAATGACATCAACAGCGGTTGGAAGACTGGTAGAACTGAAAGGTCCATAACACAGCAACAAACAAAGGATACCTCAGTGATTTTCATTAGCTTCGTGTATACTATGAGTCCTAGTTATATGAAACCTGATTTTACTAGCTGTACATTATTGATTACATCTGTATTTCGGAACCAAAGTTTGGTCAGGTGAATCGAAAAACGATGATCTACGACGTTATATACTGGCGACATTTGGTAGAATGAAGCAGTCAGAAGTGTCGGTGACCAATCAACCACTTCAAGTTCGATTTTCAATCCACTCTTTAGAAAGGTCAACCACGGTAACCAAAAGGTCGACAGATTAGCAACATTTTACATAAGGCCGTGTTACCGAATATCGAACCATTGTATCTACCAAGGCAGGCACCCAAATCTCTCAGATTCAAGTGTTCATTGAACAACTCAAACAACTGAAACTAGAAAATGAAACTAGTTGCTATTTGGGAACGAGTTCAGAAAAGACGGTGACGGAGAAGCAGAAATGTTGGCTTACACAAACGATGATATGAATGCCTATGGCAAAGTGAACCAAACTCACTTCAATACGACTCTTGAATTCCTTCAATTTGGGGAAGTCCTCCAGACACTGTGGTGCCAAATAACGAATACAGTCCAATGCTTCGTAAACCATAAAGTCCACATGGCTAACCTGAAACCGAGTCACGCGACATACTGGGCAATCAGATAACCATTGTCTTCCCGAGTACTCATGCTTAGTATCAAATGAGAAATTAAAACTCACTGAAGAACCTGTCAAATAGTGACGATCTCCAAGAAAATTGGACCACATCTTCAATGTTGTTGGCAGTTCTTTCAGATAATCTCCTTTCACTTCTTCCTGAAGATGGCGAGCTTCAGATTAGCAATCATCAAAAGCTTACAAATTTTGGGTTGTAACAAACACGAACAAAACCCATCCGAAGATCCATTGCAGCTCCTTCGATCATCGAAATTCGAGCTCGTTCCTCGGGTGTGGAACCAACTAAGGTGAGTAGTTTAGGTTTGAGAGAGAATATGCACTTACGCATTCCATGCTTATCCGCAATGTACCGCATTATGGCCACTGACTGAGTCAGTTTGCACTTATCGTCAATGTAGTATGGTAACTGGAACCAGTATTTTGTCAGTAATCGACTGTGAGGCAATGTTGACTTACATTTGGCAAATCCAATCCCATGTTGAATTTATCGCCCAACCACTTCTCCCTATCATCGCGACCGTACAAATGTTCTTCGTACTCTTCACCCAGGTATTCGAGCAAGAGTCGAACGGGTTGTTGGAGCTGCAAAGCAAGGAAACGAATATCAGACCACCTCTCCTGGTCATCCGATCAACATATTTTTGACCCCAGGTTTGCATTATTGTAATTCGTTCACCACCAGTAAGGTGTCAGTCAAAAGTTGGAGATGTTAATTTGACTGGCCAGAATTTATCCTATCCTGAGGAGTTCGTCGCGCATGCTGACTCTCCACAGAGCCAGAAATCACACGAATATATCAGTCGATCAATGAGAGTGAATGACAGCGAGTTAACACATCATGCAAGTAGTGTTACGAAATATCAGTCTATACGATGATAAAACAACCAGAAACATTGAATCACATAAATTCGATCAAGTACACGTTGTCGAATCTCAATCGTTAAGGTGTTTCATTCAGGTCTAACAGTGTGAAATGCAAATAATAGTCGGTGATATGGTGCCGTAAAATATACCATTCTGATAACGAGCATAACTAAACCTCTGTTTGAAGTTTAACACACACACACACACACACACACACACACACACACACACACACACACACACACACACACACACACACACACACACACACACACAATTTAGTTTACCTTCCTGGCTATCACAAGACTAGTATCCTGTTGAACCGAGCATTTCAAATTTAATACTAAGTGAACACAATATCAACAAACGAAATTGAGTTAGCCCAAACTCATTCATTTACTGATAACTACACACGGTACTCATACACAGTGATTATCACGGACATCCACTTCAATCACCTCAATGATGAGAAGCAACAAGCATTCTATTTGAAGTGGTCCACGCACGGGCACTCAATGTACTCTCAGTCTGGCTGGAATATTTCAACAATTCTCACTTACCCCTCTTATTTTCCAGTATCCGAGTTTGGCTGGCATCAGTGTGGTTCGTTGGTAAATATGTGACAGCGATCCATGCACACAGCTATATAAGTAGCTTGACTGAACCACCCCCGAGTGCAGTGCGGCCTCCTCGTCAAAAGCCAATTGTTTGTTCATTCATCGGACCATGAATTCGACCATCCACACAGTCATTTACTGGTCAACCAATTAGTGGGTGACATGGTTGTTTTTGTGCAGCTTCTGATTGGGTCTTCCTGATCAAGTATCGTGTGTTTCGCTACCTGTATCATGTTTTGTGTTCCGTTAGAGGATTTTGTCAACGGCAAAGTTGTCAAACATCATTCTTATTTGGAGAGATATATTGTCCTATTGGATAGGCCACCAATACGTCTAGCACTGAGTTTTTAATCAGCGGAAAACTAACCAATGTATCAAAATTCCGTTGTACGTAATTCTCGCCCGATTGGTTCTGAAGTAGAGTAGCTCTGTCATCCACCCTGTTTTGCCTGTTCTAGGGTATAGTTATTTTACCCTTCCTACGATAAGCGCAGGTTGGAAGTATACACCTTATTTCCCCGAAAATAAAAACAGGTTTTAAACTCATTTTCCCCTCGAAAATTGTACTAGGGCTCATTTTCTCTCATTATCTCATATTTCAATTTCAAAGTCAACATGTTCGCACACACGATTCTACGTTTATTCAAATCTAGTCAAGTCAGTACTAAAGTAATAAAGCTTTTTCTAAATAAAAATTCATTGTTCACGTGGCCTGCTCCTAGTGCATTGGCAGCACGATTCTCATTGATTTTATTTCATGAATTTTTTACCCAATCAACGACCTCATCCATACTAGATTTCACAAAGTTTCCACGATGATTTCTCTCCATTCTACTTTTAAATTAGTCAATGATTTCTGTGCATAAATGGTTCTTGAAAGCCTTTTTTATTGCGTTATCAGAAGTCTGGCCATATGAAACCACTACTGCATGAATAATTATGTGATCTATTCCTGTCTGTGCAAAAAAGTTCCCAGACTGCCAGACCTGGTCGATCAGCCCAGCAAAACAAGAGGCAGAGTTGGGATGATCCACTTTCTGATAGCTGCTTTTATGCTCCGTACTTTCCGACTTCAATAACAATAATACCCCGAACACTTTAAATCTTATCTTCATTTCTATTTGTGATTATTAGAAGCAAAGCTTTCTTTACATTCAGATAAATCAACACACTGAGTTCTTGGCATTTCCCTCTTTCGCCTATCGACTGAGGTAATCGTAGTCTGCTGTCCATTTTCAGACCGCTCAGAGATGAAGCACTTTTTCCTTGCAGGAGGTCATAAAATTCTTGCCCGGGAATCTCCAGTGATCCCGTTGTTGTCATCGACGGAATAGCTCTTTCTCTTAGCTCTCATCTTGACTTGTTGGAAGCTCAGAAGCGAAGAGAATCGGCAGGGACTTGAATTTTGGTTCAGCGTTTTACTCTATATTGACTCGCGGAATCGAGATACTCATCTGTACATCATCAAGTGCGCACCAGTGGCATCTGTGCTCCTACTGGCCAATGGATAACCAAGTTTGGCAGTCCTGAATGTGCTCTCCGTGTAAACAATTTATGGTCTCAGTTTTTGCAAGCTGGACCTAACAGGCAATGACAAAGAGCATTTGGTCTGGTTGAATGCTTCAGATCACCTGATAGGTCCATCTTGTAATAACTAAGATTCGTAAATAGTTTACGCCAAGCGAACATTCAGACCTGGCGTATTTGATCAACGAAACGGTCAGAACAAAATAGTTAAGCTTTATTGCGTTTAATGCGTGGACAGATCCTTAAGCAAAAAAAAGCTTACTTTCTGGTATTATGCTTTGCCGTTTGGTGATTTTTTGAAGACTCGAACTGCAAAAGCTTCACAGTCGAATTTTTCCGAATGTCACGAGCTCACAACATTTTTCACCTTGCTTCTGCCTTATCGAATCACTCGATAGCAGACGATTTCAAATAGGTCTAATTTTCGGGACAAGGCTTGTGGTCGGAGAAGCAAGGCATGTAAACGTGTATGTGTGTTTGTGCCATTCTCGGTTGAAGGATTGATGTGCTTGGGCTGTCTTAATAAGCACGGGGTGTCTGAGTCTATCTTGGATTTCAGCTTACAATGGTTTTCTCTGGTTGGTTCCACGCTCGAAGAGTGAGCTCTAGTTTTGATAATCGATGATCGAAGATGCTGTTGCGTCTCTTCATCAAGGCTTCTCTCGAATTTCCTACGATCTGAGATTTGTCACTGCCCTAAAGTGGTTATCTTTAATATGAGTGCACATGAGCAGATGAAAGAAGGATATCTGAAAGACTGGCTTATGTCGTTGATATTGTGATCACTATTCTTGCTAATTAGATGCATCAACTATCTGATCATAAGAAAAGCGAGTCAGAACACACACCGAAGTTTCTTCAGGCGCTATAACTGGCCTGTTTGCAGTTGTAAATCAACCTCGCCGAGAATAGACCGTGGTATCAGACAGTGTGCCATGAAATCTACTACCGCAGTTTTCCGAAAACATGACCTACTTCCAGAGTAAGCTCTGCCATGATTGTTAGTCAGAATGATTTTCTGTAAGCTCTGTACCACAACTAATATATAGTCAAAATGTAGCAGCGGGGGAGTGCTCAAGTATACGACTCCCTATCTACGGATGACCACGTTTTCCGGAATTAGGAGTTATGACAACTCAGTTTACCCCATTTGCCGAACCATCACACACATCAATCTGTTACATTCAATGCCACTTATGTTTCACGCGTTAGCACCAAACACGATGTTGAAACAGTAACCACTGTCATCCAACTCAAACGGAATTAAACCGACCCTGTATGATGCAAACGTGATTGCTGGTTTTCGGAGAAAAGTCCATGAAATAAAATCACCAATACCTGTGTTGCTAATGCACTACAAGCACGTTGCTTGAACAAAAATTGGTCATTTAAGGAAAGCTGTGTTGCTGAGCAGGCGAGATTGAGGTCAGTGGATATACAGGTGATTGGATTTCTAGAAATACAGTACTGAATTGACAGAAATACTATTGTCATAGTCCACACTGATCTCTGGAGTCAGGTTTTTCAGCTTATTTTCTGCTTGGCTTATTGGTTTTTAGTTGAATTATTGAGTAAGTGAATGTATGAACGAGTGAACGAGTGAGTTTCTCCTTCGTTGATTGGGTGTAGCCTGTCTGTCTTCAAAGATCCGGTTAAGGAAGAATAATCTGTAGGAATTTATGCACAATGCTGATCGTACCGACGTCAAAGTAAAGGTAACCGACTAATCCACGGAAACCACGGAGGAAAGGGTCTAATTCACAATACAGCCACTTTTAGGGCTGGCATTAGGATCGGCCAGCAATCGAATGCTAGTAAACTGCGTTCGTGCGGGAAGTGAGTTGAAGGTAAGCCCAGTTGAAGTTATGCACTCAGTATCTTCATTTTCCGATAGTTTTTACAGTCAAGTTATTTCGTTTCAAACTGCACGATTCTCGCATCACAACTTTCTCAGTTGAAGGCATGGTGTTGTCTGTCCACAGAACAACACTCCAACCTGAAATCTGTCCAGAGCCGACGAACACTGATTGCAGCAGTCTTTTTACATTAATAAGTCCTAAACATTCTGACTTGAGTGTTTTATCTCACTTGAATATATCAAAGCCGAGATCAAGTAGGAGGGTATCGAAAAAGTGATGCGCATTTTGATGTTATAGATGTGTTTATTGTTCGGTAACACAGCATCGCTGGAAGACATGGTGGTCAACCGACGTTTTGGTTACCGAGGGTAACCTTTCTTAAGACCAGTTTACAATCGATCATAAGCTGGTCTTAGGATCTGATTGTCCGCGGTAATCGTCCCGTCGGCTGACCATAATCTTTTCCGACAGTGCTGTGTTACCGAACAATAAACACTCACTTTTATCTCGTCTATTTATGAAAGCTTTGTTTATATTATATCCGAGTTCGGTGTAATACATGGTCGGCTGATCATGATGGTTCTCAGCGTTGTGCATCAGTATGGTCTATGAATAGACCCGAAACCTGATTGTGCTGACTTGATCAGAAACTGCATCAGTGTGAAGAATATCGTTGTTGATACTGACTGCCCACAACTGCCATCACTACTCTAGTTCCAGAAAATCGAAAAACAAGGACCCTGCGGTACGTTCCGTAGCTGAGAAGTACGCGACGATTAAACTGTAGAGCACGGTGCCTAATCTATGAAAAAATCTGTAGTGACGCGTGAAACTGACACACCGAGCCGTCCAAATGATTGACTGAATGTTAATGCGAGATCGATCGTGAGAGGACAGCTCGAAGTAGTTGTGTCGAAAATCAACCATCTCCTTTAGACGTCAACCTAAAAATTAGTTTATCCGGCAAGATTGCACCTCATTTGGACGCAAGTGGGAGTACCCCTGAATATTTCTACTCGTGCATGAAATTCCGTGGTGTTTGGCCGTTGATACAGTTTGTCCGTCGATGCTTGCTGTAAGCCACAAGGATGGTGTCAAAGTAACGTCCAAGTGCGAACAGTGTATTCGTTCGTCCACGAGAACAGAAGAAGGCAGATCTCGAGGGAATATAATAATCAGTCGGGCTCGCATAGTAAAACCCCAGTTCGAATAATGCAAGTGAATTTTCGGTTCTCAGACAACAATCTAGAATTTCTTTTCGGGATTTTGAAAACCTCTTATTTAGTGTACATAATAAAAGTGGTCAGCTTTGCTCGTCTGGATGACGAGGCTACACTGAAGTGAGGAGTGGGGGAGCCTTAGTGGTGCTAGAGAGGAACAAGTTCCATTTAACTTGGTGTTGAGTGCTTCGAAACCCGCCATCGACGATCACTTCGGCAATGGATCGGAATCCACTGTAACCGACCTCATATCTACGTTTAACCTATCGGAATCAGCACTGCGAGCCACAGAAACGCAGCCATCATTTACCTGTATTGCCGAGGTTGCCTTCCAAGGCCATTAAGTACAGCACACCTTCCACTGCACTAGTGCGCATGCACCGGATAAAAATTTGGCATTATTTCAATCCTAGAACAGAGTCATCCCAGAGTTATTCCTCCATTTGATTCAATGATCACTTAGGTAACAAACTGCCTGCATTTCTCTTCATCT